ATAGGGAGATTTTCACGCATGAAGATATTTTTCAGATATATACTTATGTCATCTGGTACTCATAACCTTTAATATAAAGCAAAAGAAAAATAATTTCCCAAAAGTTCCAAAATATAACCATTCTATAAATTTATAACCTAAATCAGGCCAAATTTATTGGAATTTAAAACAGTAAGCTATGAAAAAATTTTGGCTAAACCATGCAAATATAAACTCTTTAAGAAATCATAGTTTTTTATGAGTGGAATATAGAAATTCAAAGAATTAAAATCAAAGAAACATGTAACAACAGTAAGAATGATATGCAATCCCATAAAAGAAAGAAATAATCCCATAGTTACAGAAATAGCAAATATTAATCTGGTTGGAAAAATGGCTCCACATTTCCATATTTAGGAAAAGTTATAAACATCGATTGTTAGCATTAAATAATTTGTCATTATACTCGTATCCTCTGAAATTAAAAACTCACATTTAATGCCATTTTTACTGATTCTAAACCACTGTGTTTTAAATCAAATAAGAATAGTTGCTAAATAATCTTTGAATATGTATATGTGTTTTATTTTTCTTAATTGTGAAATACAGTTCCATTTTAAAGTGAAAATATACTTACTCAAATGAGGATTTACAGGAGCTACAAGAAAAGTAAAAAATAAAAACAAAAAACAGAAAACAACGTTAGCATGGCTCAAATGTCTTTTATAAATAAAAGTCTAATCAGTATCTCATAGTTTCTTACCAAAACTTAACGATCTTCCCCACTGTGACCATGGAGAATTATATCTGCAATGCATTTTGTTCTAGAGTACTGATTACAACGTACTTTGGAGCTCAGCGATAACAGCTTCAAAGCACCAAAAAGATCAATGTTAAGTAGCATGGGGGATTTGTTCATTTTCCAAGGAACAGAGTTGCTGACCTTTTATATCTTAACCAGTGCTGAACAAAACCCAGAAATGAAAACTGAAGCTGACAATAGTTAAACCTAAAATCTAGATCGTTTAACAATGAAAATAATTATCCAACAGAGATTACACTTTTGTTTTTTGCTATTATCTATTTCTTGTGAGAAAAACATGGCATATATGAAAATAAAGCAATCATCGTATCATGTAATATCACGTGTCCTGAAACAAATAGCTATTTCAGCACCACTTTGTTTAATTACATTAAAACACACAACATGCAGAGTTTTCAAATGATAAGCAACAATACATTTTGCATTTTTGTGTACTAAAAGTATGTTTCAGAAAGCTAACAGTGTTTGCAATATAAGTGCCAACTGATTTTCACCCAAAGAGAAATGGGTTTTAAATTTTACTAAGACATCAACAAAAATACATATAACTTAAGAGACAAAATTGTATTAGTATGTATCATTTAGGCATTTATCACTTAAGGAAAACTCCATTTTGTATGGAGAGCATGATTGTAGTTTCCCAAGTACAACGGGTAGTTAATCTACCCTGTAGAACTCTATCTCTAGTTTGTCATTTTCTTAGTGTTTACCATTAACCACCTTTATCAAACTTGTACATTACTAGTATGTACTAGTACAAGTATGTACAAGTATGAAAGTATGATAGGCAAAAATGCATACACAGGCACAAAGCATGTTCATATACTCATATAATTGTTACATTAGTGCACTGAGATCAATTTTAACAAATTGAGTCAGTTTCTCAATCATTTTTACCATTTCTACAAATAGAAGGAAATTTTCATTGCCTTAGTTATCTTTCTGATTATGCATTCCATATTGCAAATTATGAAATGAATAACATCGAGAAGAGACTATATCTTTACTAGTTCCACTAAAAGTGAACTAAAAAATAACAATTCCTTTTCTCACAAGATATAAATATATTTTAATTTGAAAAATTAATTAGTAAAAATCAAAGCTTTTATAGTCAAAATAATATAAAATTATAAAAATTTCTGTGTACAATCTTTCAAAGAAGGATCTTTGAATTATAATTTTGTTCTACAGAATTTCATATCTACATGTACCTCTCACCAGACCCAATTTCAATTGCATCTTCCAGAATATTTTAGTAATCAAATTCTCTATAAATAGCACGGTTAACTTTGTGAAAACTTGCAATTTTAAATTCTAAATATTGCAATGAGTCAATTTTTTCTTCTTTTATTTGAATTTGCATGTCTAATTTCTTAAAAATACTTATTATAGACTAAATTGTGTTTCCCCAAAATTCTTATGTTGAAGCCTAATCTCCAATGTGATGTATTTGGAAACAGGGCCTTTAGGGAGGTAATTAAGGTTAAATGAGGTTATAAGGGTGTGGCCCTAATCCAAGGGGATTAGTGTCCTTATATGAGGAGGAAGAGACACAAGAGAGACTCTCTTTGTCATGTGAAAACACAGTGAGAAGGTGGTAATATACAAGCCAGAAAGGGAGCCTTCACCAGAAACCAAGCATGCTGACTCCTTGATCTTGGACCTCCCAGCCTCTACAACTATGAGAAATAAATTTCTATTTTTCAAGCCACTAGCGTATGGTATTTATTATGATAGCCCAAGCAGACTAAGGCAATGCCTTTAAACCATTAAAGTGTACCTTGCCTAAATCTGTTTTACATGAGAGTTTAAATAAATGTTTAAGATTTTAATACATATGGCTAAGAATGTAAAGATATTTTTAAAAATTTAGAACTAAAAGTAATATTTATTTTCCACATCTCTTTTTCATNATTTCAATCTATACATCTGCTGTCAAATCTTCCTTTTTATATGTTATTCAAAATTTTGTATGATGAATTTTTATAACACTACTTAATCATATCTTTTTTGCAATTTAATTTTGACTTTAATTGTAAATATGTGCAAAGAAATTTATCCATAAAATAGTTTATTGGAATAAAGAGTATGTGACAGATATGACAATGCACTCAGCTGTATAAACTTATCAAAAGCCAATTCAAAATTAAATGTTAAAATATCTCTTGAAATAGAAAAGTAATAAAGTCTGGGATTTTCACAAAGACACCCAACTGAGGATTGACTAGATCTTGAATTTTTTTACTAGTTTTCAAATTACAACATTATTTTGGCAGTGTTTCAAGGGCTACATAGAAATAAAGGTATTTTAAATATTCTGAATTACATGTTCTCCAAAATTTTGCTTTATTTCCCTGAATCCTTCCCAATATAGTGAATAAAGAATCAAAACTCGGGAATAAGAAGCCTGATACCCAATGGCCCTCTTTAGGCATTCCTTAAAACCTGCAAAAATCCAGCCTCATACTAAAAATAAAAAGCTCTCATGAACTGATATTTTAGAGTGGATTTTTTTATGGTAAATCCTCTTTTTAGTTCAAAGTTGTTTTCCAGAGATAGGGAGATTTTCACGCATGAAGATATTTTTCAGATATATACTTATGTCATCTGGTACTCATAACCTTTACTATAAAGCAAAAGAAAAATAATTTCCCAAAAGTTCCAAAATATAACCATTCTATAAATTTATCGCATGAAGATATTTTTCAGATATATACTTATGTCATCTGGTACTCATAACCTTTAATATAAAGCAAAAGAAAAATAATTTCCCAAAAGTTCCAAAATATAACCATTCTATAAATTTATAACCTAAATCAGGCCAAATTTATTGGAATTTAAAACAGTAAGCTATGAAAAAATTTTGGCTAAACCATGCAAATATAAACTCTTTAAGAAATCATAGTTTTTTATGAGTGGAATATAGAAATTCAAAGAATTAAAATCAAAGAAACATGTAACAACAGTAAGAATGATATGCAATCCCATAAAAGAAAGAAATAATCCCATAGTTACAGAAATAGCAAATATTAATCTGGTTGGAAAAATGGCTCCACATTTCCATATTTAGGAAAAGTTATAAACATCGATTGTTAGCATTAAATAATTTGTCATTATACTCGTATCCTCTGAAATTAAAAACTCACATTTAATGCCATTTTTACTGATTCTAAACCACTGTGTTTTAAATCAAATAAGAATAGTTGCTAAATAATCTTTGAATATGTATATGTGTTTTATTTTTCTTAATTGTGAAATACAGTTCCATTTTAAAGTGAAAATATACTTACTCAAATGAGGATTTACAGGAGCTACAAGAAAAGTAAAAAATAAAAACAAAAAACAGAAAACAACGTTAGCATGGCTCAAATGTCTTTTATAAATAAAAGTCTAATCAGTATCTCATAGTTTCTTACCAAAACTTAACGATCTTCCCCACTGTGACCATGGAGAATTATATCTGCAATGCATTTTGTTCTAGAGTACTGATTACAACGTACTTTGGAGCTCAGCGATAACAGCTTCAAAGCACCAAAAAGATCAATGTTAAGTAGCATGGGGGATTTGTTCATTTTCCAAGGAACAGAGTTGCTGACCTTTTATATCTTAACCAGTGCTGAACAAAACCCAGAAATGAAAACTGAAGCTGACAATAGTTAAACCTAAAATCTAGATCGTTTAACAATGAAAATAATTATCCAACAGAGATTACACTTTTGTTTTTTGCTATTATCTATTTCTTGTGAGAAAAACATGGCATATATGAAAATAAAGCAATCATCGTATCATGTAATATCACGTGTCCTGAAACAAATAGCTATTTCAGCACCACTTTGTTTAATTACATTAAAACACACAACATGCAGAGTTTTCAAATGATAAGCAACAATACATTTTGCATTTTTGTGTACTAAAAGTATGTTTCAGAAAGCTAACAGTGTTTGCAATATAAGTGCCAACTGATTTTCACCCAAAGAGAAATGGGTTTTAAATTTTACTAAGACATCAACAAAAATACATATAACTTAAGAGACAAAATTGTATTAGTATGTATCATTTAGGCATTTATCACTTAAGGAAAACTCCATTTTGTATGGAGAGCATGATTGTAGTTTCCCAAGTACAACGGGTAGTTAATCTACCCTGTAGAACTCTATCTCTAGTTTGTCATTTTCTTAGTGTTTACCATTAACCACCTTTATCAAACTTGTACATTACTAGTATGTACTAGTACAAGTATGTACAAGTATGAAAGTATGATAGGCAAAAATGCATACACAGGCACAAAGCATGTTCATATACTCATATAATTGTTACATTAGTGCACTGAGATCAATTTTAACAAATTGAGTCAGTTTCTCAATCATTTTTACCATTTCTACAAATAGAAGGAAATTTTCATTGCCTTAGTTATCTTTCTGATTATGCATTCCATATTGCAAATTATGAAATGAATAACATCGAGAAGAGACTATATCTTTACTAGTTCCACTAAAAGTGAACTAAAAAATAACAATTCCTTTTCTCACAAGATATAAATATATTTTAATTTGAAAAATTAATTAGTAAAAATCAAAGCTTTTATAGTCAAAATAATATAAAATTATAAAAATTTCTGTGTACAATCTTTCAAAGAAGGATCTTTGAATTATAATTTTGTTCTACAGAATTTCATATCTACATGTACCTCTCACCAGACCCAATTTCAATTGCATCTTCCAGAATATTTTAGTAATCAAATTCTCTATAAATAGCGCAGTTAACTTTGTGAAAACTTGCAATTTTAAATTCTAAATATTGCAATGAGTCAATTTTTTCTTCAATTGCATCTTCCAGAATATTTTAGTAATCAAATTCTCTATAAATAGCACGGTTAACTTTGTGAAAACTTGCAATTTTAAATTCTAAATATTGCAATGAGTCAATTTTTTCTTCTTTTATTTGAATTTGCATGTCTAATTTCTTAAAAATACTTATTATAGACTAAATTGTGTTTCCCCAAAATTCTTATGTTGAAGCCTAATCTCCAATGTGATGTATTTGGAAACAGGGCCTTTAGGGAGGTAATTAAGGTTAAATGAGGTTATAAGGGTGTGGCCCTAATCCAAGGGGATTAGTGTCCTTATATGAGGAAAAAAGAAAAAAGATTGTGATCACATTTCTTAAGTTCTTAATGAGATAAGTTTTAAAGTCATCAAGAATTTGAAAAGATAAAATGTAGACAAATATTCCATCATAATTGTGGGATCAAAAATAAAGGGACAATTATGAATTCACATTATCACATAGGTTCAATGTTAACTAAAGCATTATGCTCTATATCTGTTTATTTGTAATCGAAAATTACAATTTATGGTGTTAAGGTTTGGGTTGTTTTGGCGGGGGCTTTTTTGGTCACCTGGCTGATGATAGAGAAAATTCAATATACTAAATTTTACTTTGTGTCTAAATTTGGAAGATAATTGTAACCTAAATGTTCCTTACAGTTTAAAATGCAAATACATTCTTTTAAATAAAAGGCTACTTACCACTATATTTGATTACTCGAATTGTTGAATCTCCTTCACCAAATTTGGTGAGAGGAGTCAGTCGAACTTCATAAGCCTCTGGTTTAATTAGCTCAGTCAAGTTATATGTAATTAATTCTCCCTTTTGAATATTGCCATTTATTTTAATCTCCTGTTCCCACCAACGCTGCTGTCCAGCCTGAAATCAAAACAATTACATGATAAAGTCCCCAATATTTTCTTTACAGGTACTTACTGTACTCAAAGGAAATGAGAAAAAAATTCTGAAATTTTATTAAATAAGAAAGTACAATATATTATGTGAATACATCTTATTAAAGTTTGCTCCTATAATGAGCAACAAAGTTTTCAGATGTTTGTATGCAGGTGTTTGCAGATACTTGCCTAATTATCAGAGGTTAATTAAATATATTTGAAAGATTTAATATGTCATTCAGTATGATGTTAGAGTCAGGAAGTTCAAACAACTTTGATATGGAAGTTTGAAGAGATGCAAGTTTAACTATTTCTTACTTAACATATTAATGACATTTGAGACTCGAATAACTGCAAATTCTCTATTATATTAGCAAAAATATGTATTACAGACTTAATGGTTGCCAGGATGTACTCCAGGCATTAGGGGTATAAAACAAAGAGGACTAAGTTCTTAACTTTCTCAAGTCTATTAAAAAGAGAGACATGAGGGCCGGCCTCATGGCGTACTCAGGAGGGTGCAGCGCTGCGAGTGCAGCGTTGCTCCCGCCATGGGTTCGGATCCTATATAGGAATGGCCGGTGTGCTCACTGGCTGAGCGCCGTGCGGGCGACACCACACCAAGGGTTGCGATCCCCTTACCGGTCACGAAAAAGATAAAAAAAATAAAAAACAAAAGAGAGAGAGAGAGACATGATAACGATAAAATAAATGTATAACATAAAATGATTTGAAATAGTCAGCTGTGTGGGCCGGCCCGGTGGCGCACTGGATGGTGCGCCGCTTGGGAAGCGCGGCGGCGCTCCACAGTCAGCTGTGCAGTAAAAAAAAAATAAAAATGACAAGGAGATTAAGAGTTATAGTTGGGAGGGTGGTAGGAGAAACTCTTTTATCTAGGTAGTCAGAGGACACTTCCATAAGAAGGACGCTGGGAAGTCAAGCAAGATGAGGGCTAGGGATTTACCATTGGATTTGGCAAGATGAACATGATGGTGATATTGAAATAAATGGTACCAGTGGAATAATGAAGATGAAAGCCTGAATGTAACAATTTAAAAGAATGGGTTTCACACTACCTCTCACACTAAAAACACAATGCTCAGCAAATTTAACAAGACAGTTATACAAAATGTTCAGGAAACAAAGAATTCTTTTCTTATACAAAATGTTCTGGAGATTTAAAAAAGAAGAAAAAATAACTCCCAAACTAATTTTATTTAATTTTAACCAAAATTAAATTAAGGATAATACAAGAAAGGAAAATTACATATACACAAACCAAATTCATTACATATACACAAATCAAGTTTTAAAAGTCATGCTATATCCAGTATGGTTTATCTCACAAGGATGCAAGAATTGTTTAACATTAGGAAGCATGTTAATATAGTTAACTGGCAAAAGAAGAAAAAATTTATTGCTACCAGATGGATAAAAATTTGCTTCAACTCCTATTTATAACAAAACTATTAATAACAGGAAAAGAAGGGAACTTGCTTAATCTGATATATAAGATCTAACAAAAATCTATAGGACACTTTGTTAATAATGCTTATATGTTAAAATTATTTCCCTGAGTATCACAAATGAGAAAAGAATGTTTAATATAGTTGATTAAAAATTGTGCTTTGGTAACAATGAATGGTATAATCATTGTAAAAATGAAATAAATCTGCAGGGTTATTTACATAGAAATCTACCTCTTTCTCTTCCCGCTCTCCCTCCATGCACATATATTTGGTCTTCCCACTTATGAATAAATCATAGCCCTCCATTTATTTTAGATTCACTTGAACGTCTTTTACTAGCATTTTAAAGTTGTACTCATTAACTACATAGAAATCTACCTCTTTCTCTTCCCGCTCTCCCTCCATGCACATATATTTGGTCTTCCCACTTATGAATAAATCATAGCTCTCCATTTATTTTAGATTCACTTGAACGTCTTTTACTAGCATTTTAAAGTTGTACTCATTAAATTAATGCATATAATTCACTAAATTTGTTAGTAGGTAATTCATAGATTTGCTTGTTATAATAAATTGTGATTTCGTTTTATTCTATGCTATTTTGCTAGTTTATAAAATTTTGATTTTTTTTGTATTTTCCTTATATTCAGCAATATGTATATATATAAATATATATTTTTTACATATGGTACTCCTTCTATATACATTTATATATGCTAGGAATAGTACCTTATAATATGCATCTGAAACTTTTTATATCTGAAATCTACAGTGTCCTTGTTCATAATGCTTTTCTCCTTGTTTGCTTGGTTATTTTTGACTATGTGCTGATCATGTGGCTTAAAATTCTGTTACTGGGGGTTCTTTGGGGCCTAGGACAAAGACATATTGCTTTAGATGTGTACCTCTGTTTCTGATATGCTCCTAAGGGCATCAACAGTATAGTTCACTTTTACTTTGATCATGAAACCCTTTGGTGTTACAGATTAAAGTGGAGAAGTTTCCTTGCTTTGGGCAGGCCTTGGGTTTTTATTCCTATCTGCCTCAACACTGCCAAACTATTAAGAATCAAGGTTCAAGTTTGTCTGCGTTGGTGAACAGCTAAGGGCAAAAGCAGTTTGGGTAGAAATTCCATTTATTACTTTGGATTCCCATTTTCCCTTAGCCTCTTACCTGATAATTTCTCTCTCCTTTTCTCTGTCTCCCCGCACATACACATATACATGTACATGCTATATATATGTGTGTGTATATAAGTATATGTATATGTATTCACATATATTTGTTTTCTGAAGGTGGGTTATTCCTAATTATATAGCCTATACTGCTATATTTCTGAAAATGAAAATCTCAAATATGTGGGCTATTAACACAGTCCTACACAAATGACAAAACTTCCTTTTAGTATAGTGTCTCCCTCTGGAGCAGAAGGAAGGTTTATTTGATGTCTAGTATAATAAAGATGACTCCTTTTTTTGGGCAGTTGTTAGGAAGGTTTCCTTGGCGTCAATTATAAAATACTAAGGTTGCTTAAGCTCAGGGTCCCTTATGTAATGCACAACCAAGGCATGTGCGCCACCCACCTGGGTGCTTCTGTGGGACCTTGGGGGCAAGAGGAATCCATGCTAACATAAAAGTTATGAATTTGCTGTGTTATGAGTCCCTTTCTTTGACCTAGCAGTCGCTAGTGGTCTGCTAGTATCCATGATAGTGTTGTAGCTAACTTGTTAGCTTGTAAGTAAGGTAAAATCTCACTGTTTCCCACCCCCACTCTTTAGTTCTGACATGCATATTCTCATTATTTTATATATACACCAAATCTTGATATCATTATTTTTTGAAAATTTTTGTCTATCTGACGGTGGAAAATATTGCTGTAGTTTCAATTTTCATTTCTTCATGAGGCTGAGTCTCTTTTTTAATTAACTAGTTATTTGTGTTTCCTCATCTATAAAATACCTGTTCTTATTTGGCTCATTTTGCTACTGAATTCTTTTTTTTTTTTCTTATGTATGAACTAAATACAAAGTGCTGTTATTTCAAAAGATTAAAAAAAGGAGTTTAAGCACACAAAAAATATACAAAATAATTTGACATTTTGCTATTATCTAAAAAAAAATGTTTAATTAAGGTGTACTCCTATGGATGTTAATGTAAGTTTAATATCACTCAGTGTTTGTAGTACATCTTGAGGGAGAGACTGGTGTTCTGTTGTTATAATGAGATGTTCTACTCAAGTAATTTTAGTTGACAGACACATTGATGTTGTTACTTATTACAAACTCTGAAGTACATAACTTCATATGTGTATTAAAAAAAGCAATAAGTTTGATTCCAAGTCTTTAATTTAAGGCTGCAATGAATGTATATACTTAAGCAATTGGATGAATAAGCAATTAAATACTTCATATCATATCTCAGTGAGCTTTGCAAAATGTAAAAATGGAAAACTAAATGTAATGTTTGCATGTACACAAAAGAAAATGCAATCTGGATGAATAAGCAATTAAATACTTCATATCATATCTCAGTGAGCTGTGCAAAATGTAAAAATGGAAAACTAAATGTAATGTTTGCATGTACACAAAAGAAAATGCAATATTATTCTACTTGTTGAAGGTAACACTACACAACCCTCAGAAAACGTGAGATCTAAATCATAACTACAGATGACAGTCCCAGACCATACTTATGAGCATACTGATATAAAAGTGTTAAAATTTTTTTCATGTCAATTTTAAAAATTCCATTTAACTTTTCCTTTTCCTAGGAGATACATTCCTGTTAATGGGTAGCCTAAACCCCCCCAAATCCCCTACAGTGAGGCTTTTTATTAAATGCTGTAGTTTGTTACTTTTGCCACAGAGAATAATTTAAAAGCTATTGCTGAAAAGGTCTCAGGGGGAAAACCATATTAATTTTTTTCTCCTAATTTTAAAAGAGACAAATTAGCTCCTCTAAGCAGAAGGCTGTCACAGACTTTAAAATCCTTTTCTTTTCCTTTTGGACAGTGAACTTTTTTCAGCTCTGTAATGAACTCCACTGAAAAGTATCGGATAAGTCAGAATCTACAAGAGAAGTGGGAATATATATATAATATGCTTTAAATATATACAGTGAAAAAGAGAAATTAAAAATGTGTTAACATTACATTCCCATTTCAGTATGATAGTTACATTTCTAAAAGCACTTTTAAAAACTATATTTGAAAATAGGAATTAAGAAATTAATCAAACAGATTAAGCTTATTTAAAAACTGTCTTCTGTGTTTTTAGTATAAATTGTACTAAGTCAGACTACCTCCAATTCACTGTGACCCCAACCAGTAAGGTGCCTAAATGATGACTTCTATACAACATATCCCCTTATTCCACCAACATACATCAGAAAGGCTGATCCTTTAATGGTGCATTTGATTTATCTTCCATAATTTATGGAATTGCAGTTTGGGATGATAGTTGGAAATACTCAAAGTATTTTGTTTACTAAGAAAATTAAAAAATATATACAGCTA